TTCCTGGAATGTTTCTGTTGTTTCAAGACTAGCCTGTTTGTCAATATATGGTTTCAGTGTATGTAACCAATCATGTATCGTTTGGTCCCTTGCTTTGCACCTCCCACTTCTAATTCTATATAAACTAAATTTCCTGATTCAGGGTAGTTGCTTGGGAAGAATTATCCCTGAAATAGTCCACTGGCATGAAATCCAACTGTTTGCTGGTGTAAAGATTAAATGCTGCCTTCTTATTTCTGCAGTGCAAAGAGTCTTCCTTTTGGTTTGGTTTGGCATGGTTTGGGAAATTTCTTGCAACATTTCCATCCTTGCTGGACAGAGGAAGTGACTCAGATTCATCTTAGTAACGTTTGAATTAACCACAATATAACTAGTGTGTTTAATATCATCCTAGATGGGTAACAGCACTAAAGCACTGCAACTTTTTCATGTGATTTTCTTAGCACAATTTTTTTGTTTGTTTTTGGATCAGCAAAGAAATGCCAGAGAGCAGACTGTTTGCTCTAACCAAAATGCTGCCATGCTGTTCTGTATGTATCGTCACCCTGATAACCCTGTTTGCTGTCTTAACCTTTGTTCCCCTTTGTGAGGGACAATTGTTTCCAAAAATGGATGGCCGCAAGCTACCCACATTATGTCTTAACCCTTGCCCCCATAACGAAAGACAGATGTTCCTGGAATTAGCTGACCACAAGCTGCAAGTTCCTGTAAAGGAGGAACTTGCTCACCACCAACTGTGAAACCTTCCGAAAGGACAACAAATTAAGTAAGAAACTCTGTCCCCAAGTCAAATAAGAGAACAAGGGTCTTTCTCAACCTTATCCCCTCCCACCCTTGCTTTGCGGTTTTTTCCTTTATAAGCCTGTCAAAGATCTAACCTAGTTACACAGCTTTGCAAACTTCAATGCACTGTGTCGCTGGGTACCAGCTTAAATAAAGCATTTCTTTTCCTTTTAAAGAAGTCTTACCCCTTTTTTTGGACAACATCTTGGGGTCTTATTTTTGGGGTGCAACAAGGCTTCAGTATTTTTTGTCCTTGTTATGGGAGAGTAAAACAATGGTAGTGGCATTTAGCATGGTCGCCAAGTGCTGTAGAGCTCTGAGTATTGCCCTCTTGGACCATGCAGTGGTCCAAGAATATCGTGGCCTTACTTGTATTGTTCTACTAGCTGAATTCCAACTGATATAGGGGAATGAAACTCCTGACCTACTATATAGTCGGTATATATTCATGTTCTTCAAAATTAAAGAATGAATTTTAGGAATAATGAAGGTTAAGAGCAAAATATATTTATTAAAGGCAAGAAAGCTGTCTGAGGGACAGAAGAGGTTTCAATTGGTTGCCAGGGACTCTGCCTTTTATAGGGATTTTTATAGAGTCCCATGGGGGTGAGATGGATCCAAGGTGGGGAAAAATGGGAACTCACTAAGTGAGCATGAAGTGGTACAGAAATGTTCTTTTTAAAGAGCTTCCTTTATTTAGATTTGGATAATTTCAGTTTTTAAAACCTAGGTAAGCTTGATGTGGTGGTGCATGCCTGCATTCTAGCATTTGGGAGGCTGAGGCAAGAGAATAACCATGAGTTCAAGGCTAGTTTGGACGGCATAGTGAGATCTTGTCTCAAAATAAAAGTGGATTTATAAGCATAGATATAATATCAAGGGCATGTCAAGGCAGAATTTTAATTTCCTATTTGGGATTTAATTTCCTATTTCTTTTTGGGATAAAGGATGCATAATATTAACAATCAAATTATGCTATTTTAAAATTAGATACATAGGGTACCATCCTGCTAGGTATATGAGGATGGGAAGAAAATACTTTTTTTTTTTTCAAAGTCTGACATTTTGCTAAAAATCAAAGGTGAGAAAAAGAGGTATTTTTCCCCTAGGACTAATGTATTTTGATTTGTTCCTGTTTTATACATTTATTTCAGCATGCATACTTAGTTTTTTAATATTTATAATTTAATAATGAAGTAAATTTATTTTTGTCTTTGATTATTTTTACTTTTTTTTTTTGATACTGGGGATTGAACTCATGACCTTGCATTTGCCAAACAGGCACTTACACCTCTGAGCTAAATCCCCAGCCCATCTTTGATTATTTTTTTTTTCCATCTTTGATTATTGAAAGATACCAAAGATCTTCCTGTTTTGATTGCTTTATTATATTTGATTTTATTGTGAGGTTTTACTTTTTCTAGAAATGCTTTCTGTTTAACAGCTTCTCTTAAATGTCAGGATTCATTTCAGGTTGCATAATTATTATTTTTAGATCTCAGTTTTTATGTTGTTGTCTCTAAAAGCATTGGTGAAATCTCAGATTTTATAGCCAGCACTAAAGGAGAATAAATTCTAGAAAACACACATTCTAAAAATGGAGTTTCTATTTCCTGCCATTTTTCAGATCATCCCCTGGTTCTCGTTCTGGGTTCAGCTGAGTTCTTTGTTTAGTTGGAAAACTATGTGTCTGCTCCCTTCCCTGAAGCCCATGCATAGCAACTGCAGATTTCATGCAAAAATACAGGTAGATTGTGGGAGCATGGAGGAGACTCACATGTGTCATGGTGTCACACCAGCCACTGGCTGGGCTGGGAGTGCAGTGACCCGGCAGGCACAGGAGGGCTCAAATGGCCAAGCACAGCCACGGTTGGTGGGTGGGTGTCCCTTTGCTGCTTAAGAAACAAGGTCAGGGTGGCCTTGACTCCTTTGACAGATTCTTCCCCAACTTTTTTTTTCTGGTACTGGGGATCAATCTCACAACCTCAGACAAAGACAAAATAGGGCAGACATTCGTGCCGTTGGGCTAAACCCCCAGTCCTTGGCAAGTTCCCTCTGAGGAAGCCGCTATCTCTGGAAGCAGAAGAAAACATTATTAAAGGGAGTGCTGAGGCTTAACTTACCATCGCGCTGTTTCAAACCTTAAAGCTTGGAAAGAGGGAGGGTGGAGGAAAGGTTCAAAGGAAACAAACTGTATACTTATAAAAATGTACCGAGTCACAAACCCAGATAAGCAAAGTGATCACTGCTTGCTTGTGACCCAGATTTCCAGACTTTTCGTAGGTCTGGAAAGGCCTGTCAGGTCACTTTGGTCACCCTTACTACTCACCTGCATTGAGCCTTGGAATGTGGTGGGTGTTGTTGGAGCAAGACAGTATTCTGCACCATCAGGGATGAGGCAAGGAGACACAAAAGCAGCAGTTACAGCCAGGGGTCGGTGACAGAATTAAGTGCTGGCACTCTGGGGTACAGGTACAGTACGTCATCTCAAACAATGTCTGTCATCTCTTTGTTGCTGCTGATGTTAAAACCATGCCAAGTGTTGAAAATTTAAATATCTACAAATGCACTCTTGTGCATTTTATATATATGTGTGTATATATATATTTATATATATATATATATTTATATGTGCTAAAGCATAAGGAGTAATAATACCACACCAACCCCATGTGTGCCTGCTGCCTACCATGGCTTTCCTGTGAGGCACTGTGTGCTCTTCCCCAAACCAGACACCCTGTCTGGTCCAGAGTCCTACTTGTATTTGTGTTGACTGTAGCCTACCTTCCACTCTGCTTCCCTGTATGTGTTCTTAAAGCATAATAAATGGAATTAAGTCAGGAAAAAATATATTTCTGGCTAACATATCCAGCTATGTCTTTTACTTAGACATCCTGAAAATTTCTGAGACAGGAGTCAGTAAACCTGTGACTTAATTCTATGGTGGGGTGGGTCTGGTTTCCTCTTCAGCCCTCTGTGAACCTCCACTCAGCCACAAAAAAGAAGGAAATCCTGTCATTGGTGACAGCGGTGATGGCCCTGGAGTAGGACAGGCACGGAAAGACAGATGGTTGCACTCCAGTGTGGACTCTAACACAAGTCTTGTGGGAACTGGCAGTGGGACGGTGGCCACCATAGCTGGGGGAGGGAAGCAGGGGCCGTTCAGGGGGTTTGGTCACCAATACTAAGTTGTCACTACACTGGAGCCGGAAGTGCTGGGGTGCTTGGTACCAGAGGGCAATTGCACACAATAACTGTAAGTGTATTGATTATTTAAAAAAAAGATTGAACAAAGGATTTTGAGTGTTTTTACCATAAATGATAAATGTTTAAGGAAATGGTATGTTTAACTTGATGCTAACATTACCAATGCCCTTCTGAATTGAAACTTCGCAATGGTTACCCCATAAAGGATAATTTTATGTATCAATTAAAATTTATTTATTTATCCATTATTTTTGTGATATTAGATATTGAACCTGGGCCTTCATACCTCTGGTCTTTCTAAAATTTAAATTTAACTTTTTGGTACCAGAAATTGAACTCATGATTTTGCATTTGCCAGGCAGGTGCTTATGTTGCTGAAATATATTCCTGGCCCTTAATTTTAATTTTAAAACAGAGTCTTGCTAAATTGCTACACTCCCAGGCTGAACTTTAACTTGCAAACCTTGAGCCTCAGCCTCCTAGAGTGCTGGGACTGCAGGCATGCAGTATTATTTTTTAATTTAAAATAAAAAATAAATGCAGTATGTGTGGGGGAGTCTGTGAAAGCACATTTGTAATTTGTAAAATGCCACTTGCATGAATGTAGCTGTGTGGGAATTATTAGTAAAGCTCTTGGTCTGTTACAGCAAGACACCTTTCTGTATTTTTTTTTTTCCTCCCTCTGCATTTTACTTTTTAAACTTTAAAAAAAATTTTTGATTTTGTTTTTAATCCTGAAAAGTAGACAGTAAAACAGCTTCTGGAAGAATTTACAACCAACTGCATGAGGGTCTGGGAAGCTGAGGGACTAGAGCAGATTTGGGAGGAGTGAACAGGAAAAGCTCTTCCCTTCAGTCACCATGGCCTCACCATGTGACGAAGGGAGAGGGATTCTTTAGTCAAAATGGAGATGAGACGGAAGAGGAAGTGGGAGATACAAACAGAAAATAAAAGGTCACTGTGGGCTGTTTAAATTCAGAGAAAAATGCCTGGCTGTGTGTGGGAAGAAGCCCCTCAGAGGGGAGGCGGTGGGCTGAAGGGAAGCAGCCCTGGGATGACCCCAACTCCAGCACCAGAGGACCTGGTGGGGGCAGAGGAGGGGCCAAGGTAGGCGCTGGTGGAGGAAGCTGGCAGGGGCCTCCAAGAGCCTCTTGACACAGTGGCTACTACTGTGTGCTTGTGCCACCCTGTGTGCTGCAGGAGTAGCTCCCATAGTCGTAGTTCCCGTAGTAAGGTGGCCACTGGCCCTGGTTTGATAGTACTGATTCCACTGCTGAACATACTGTTGATACTGGTTATAGCTGGGTTGGGGGTAGGTCTGTGCAGTGGGAGGCGGTGGTGGGGTATAGGGGGCTGGGTTGTAGCCACCATAGCTTCCATAGTTGTAGGCAGGTGGTGGTGGAGGTGGAGGTGGTGGGGCTGTGTAGCCCTGGCTGTAACCTCCCTGGTTGTAAGGTGGCTGGCTGTAACTTGGCTGTGGAGGGCTGTAGCTGCTGACAGTGGTGGTGCTGGTATTGGCGCCTGAGCCAGGGATGTTGCTGTTCTTGTTATAGCTGCCGGGCCCTGGAGGGTTCCGAGCAGGGCTGTAGCTGGGTGGTGGCGGCGGCTGCTGTGGCGGCGGCTGTTGTTGGGGGGCCCGGCTGTAGCTGCCTCGGTTGTTAGAGTTGTTGTTATCTCGGTTGTTGTTTCCCCAGCGGTTCTGGTTGTAGCCACCGCCTCCACTGCGGTTGAAACCTCCTCGGTAGTTGTTTCCTCCACCACTTCCTCCTCCTCGATTTTGGAAGCCACCTCGGTTGCCTCCAGGGGGACCTCGGTTGTCATAGCGCTGGAAACCACCGCCACCGCCACGGCCCCGGAAGCCACCTCCTCGGTTGTCAAAGCGCTTTTCAGGGGTGGTCCAGCCTTGCGGCCTTCCTCATTGCACTGCCTCACCAGTTTGTCTGCTTCTTCCCGCTGAAGCTCAATGAACAGAACCTCATCTAGGAAGTCGCCTACGTCAGGCCACGTGAAGTTGGCTTTCATTTCTAAGACCGCATGATCTGGGACATCCTTCCCTTCCTCGTCGGTTCGCTTTATTGTCCGGTCTTTTAGATCCTCATCAGTGGGGCAAATTACAATAGCTTTACGCTGGAAGCCTTCAAATGGTCTCATTTTTCGTCTTTGGGCTGACCCATAAACATTTGTCTGATCTAGGATATAGTTGCGTTTCTTGCGGGCAGCAATCTGGATGAGGCGGTTGAGGCATTGGGTGGCCTGCTGAATCAGGACATCCCAGCAGCCAGTGTAGTTTTGCTGCTGGCGCAGGCCCATCACCCGCATCTTATCCATGATAGCATTGGTACCGAGGATGTTGTACTTCTTGGAAGGATTGGAGGCTGCATGTTTGATAGCCCATGTAGTCTTGCCAGCAGCAGGTAGGCCCACCATCATCAGAATCTCACACTCTCCCTTGCTCTTTGGTCCAACAGCGCCCTGGATCCGCTCACTAAGGGGAAGGTGCTGGATGAAAGTGAACCCTGGGAGGACAGAACAGTAGGGTTCTGTCCTCTGTCCAAAGTTGAACTCTACAGCACAGTTCTTCACCAGGACATGAGGGTACAGGGCCTGACCCCCCAAGGCTTCTTTCTGGATCCGGAAAGCAATGCCCATCCACTTCCCATTCTTGGTAAAGGAAAGTTCCACATCATTTCCACATTCGAAGTCAGCAAAGCAGCCAATCACATCATTCTCTGCAAACTTGTCTCCGTAGTTTTCAAATCGGCTATTGGTGGATTTCTTCCGTGTGCCTCCATAGCCATAGGAGAAAGGCTCTTCTCCTAGTTGGGTGCTGCAAGAGTCCAGGGACCAGCCAATACGGACAACGTGGGGATCAGGCTCTGTAGATGGAAGGTGCTTCATGGAGATTTCCTCATTGATCTTCATCTCAAAACACACACGGCCTCTTCTGACCCCATAGCTGGCACGGGCTCCTGACCACAGGTGTGCAAAGCCCTCAATTGTGAGTGGATAACCACTACTCCGGTCGCGGGCCACCTTGAAGTGCAGGTCACAGTTATATGTGTCGATGGCAACAAGGGTGTCATCAAAGTCATCTTCATCTTCTTCAGCAGGAGGCTGAGGAGAGAATGGCCCCTCCTGTCCTCCCGGTGCTCGAAGTATCCACGTCCCCGGTTTTCTTCATAAGGCCTCTTTCTACTCTGGAATTGCTGTCTGTCTGGCTTGTGTTGAGAAGCTTCTGGTGGAAGAAAGCTGGGGGGTGCTTCTTGCTTCATCTCTGTCTTCACTTCTGGGCGATAGGTCTGTTGAAGTGGCTCCATGTCTAGTGGTCTCCTATCGTAGCCTGACTCGTTTTCTTGCTTGATGATCTGGGTCTCGTAGAATTGGTTCTGCCTAGTAATATTGTCCATGACATGTGGGCCCGGAGGTTCCAGTCCAGACACCCCGCCCCACCTTTCTGTATTTTAACACATGGTTTATGCTGACTTCTCCATTTTGGGCATGCATCTTCTCTCCCTGCCTCTGTTCCAGGGGTGCAAGATGGCTGCCACCCCTACTGATGCTCCCAGCAGAAAGGAGGACATGAGGTACAGCGGGGTTCAGGGGTCAGAAGAAGCACTTCCTTTTTTTATTTTAGGAGATACCGTTCCAGCGACTGTTTCTTGTGATTTTGCAAAACGGTCACAGGAGCTGCACAGGAGCAAAGGAATTGGGAGGTGAGTAGTTCAATGGGATGCATGGCTGCTTCAGATAAAACTTGGCCCTGTGAAGGAGGGTGGGTACTGTTTCACTAAAGCAAGTGGCAGGGTTGGCCCCACCCAGCAGTTTTCACTCCAGGACTTTTCTACAGTGACCACACTGTGGCACTGAGAACCGTGCAATGCATTGATGCCCCATAGAGATCTCTGCCACCTTTTGAGGCATCCCAGTCCCTCAAGCTGTGGGCGCTGTTGCTGATTTCCCCTGCAGCTCCAAAGCCTCACCCTTTATGGTGAGGGTCACCAGGGGTCTGCATGGCTCCCAAACTGGGCAATAGTGCCACCAAGTCAGGGATCATATCAAAGGTTTACTGAAAGTGGAGCATACTTCATGGGGAGGGAACAGGACAGTGAGAAGGGCTTCTGGCCAGGAAGAAGCTTGTGTTTGTGTTGAGGGGCTGAAACCTTGGATTTGGGGCAGGATTAAAGGGTGGGTCTGAGGTTTTCCTCTTGTCAGTGAGTGGCTTGGTTTTGCTCCTCCCCTTTTGTGGGGCAGTGGAGTCGCTGACCATTTATGATTTTTTATTTAGGAGACACCCTTCCAGCAACTGTTTCCTGTGATTTCAAAACCAGGGAGGGAGGGTGCGTGGGATGGAGGTATCAGAACAGTGCTGTGAATGACATGGCCGTTAGGGCTGCTGGAGACCTCAGGGCACATGGCAGGAGACTGCTCCTGAGCTCCTGGGTTACCTGGTTACCATTTCTCTGTGTTTAGAACTGGACGCCCTGAGCCCAGGTTACAGTTTAACTCAGAAGATGGATCTGGCCTGGATTGCTGGCTGTTATCTTTCTCTATCCATTGTTACCTCCTGCCTCAACAGTACAATGAAAACATTTTTCACTGTGGCCAGGAGGACAATGAGAACATTTTTCATGTTTCCGCTCCAGGTGTGTGCCTGACAATCAACATTTCGAGATGGTCAAACACAAGCTTTCCCAGGCTACAGGCCCTCCGTGCTCTGCACAGCCAAGGATGCAGCTGCTACCCCTGTTACCTGGTCCTCAGAGTGCCTCTCCGGGATCCACGCAAAGTCCTCCCACCTGCAAGTATTTCAGTGCGCTCATTTTACTCTTGGTTAATCATTTCGGTACCTGTGTCACCAGCCCGCCATGCCGCCTGGTGTGACACCAGCCTCCCTTCCGGCCCTGGGTCAGCAGTGGTCTCTGACTGGCCATCTCTGTGTGGGAATGAATGTCCTTGTTTTCTGCCTAAAAGCAAACAGATTCTGCTTGGAGTTCATGCTTTGGAGCGGCATGGGGGAACACTTTCTTGTGCCCTCTTCCCTCACTCTCTTGTGTTTCTTCCTAAATGTTCTCCTCACAACTTGCTCATCCAAGCATCTTCCTGTTTCTAGGGAACAGACCTAAGACTTGAGAGCATGCGTGAGACAGTCCATCCGTCATTATCCATGGCAGGCTTTTGTGGTTTCATAGTTTATTTATTTATTTAGTGGTCTGGGGGTTGAATCTGGCACCTTTACTCTTAGCTATACTCTTAGCACTTTTTCATTTTTCTTTTTAGGTAGGGTCTTGATGAGTCACTGCCCAGCCTGGGTTTAAAGTTATGATTTTCCTGGCTCAGCCTCCAGAGCGTTAGGATCACAGTGTGTGCCACCACACTCGACTGCATTTCACAGTCTTTAACATCCTTCTTCTTTTCGTGTGTTTGCCAGTTTTTCTGTGCAAGTCTCAAATCTGATGACATATAACAACACCAACTTAAAGGAAATAAGAAAATGATACAATCTGAGCTGGTGTCAGATGGAAAGCTGAGTTTGTGGAATAAGTTATGTGAAATTTTGTTTGTTTGTTTGTTTTTTGAAAGAAAGGTTTTTTTTTTTTTTTGTACTGGGAATCAAACCCAGGACTTTGGACTCACCAGGCAGGCACTGTTCCGCTGTGCTATATCCTGGCCCCGAGACAGGATGTTGCTATGTAGTTCAGGCTGGACTTGAACTTACTATGTAGCCCAGGATGGCCTCAAACTTCCAGCAATCCTCTTGCCTCCCCCTCTTGAATGTTGAGATTACAGGCTTGCATGACCACACCAGACTATGTGAACTTTTATAGACATGAAACAAATAAAGTGCTGTGTTGTGTGTGATGGGACAGACACACCTTTAATCTCAGCCACCAGAAAGGCTGAAGGCTGGGGAGAGACCTGCAAGTTTAAGGCCAATATAGACAATTTAATGAGACTCTGTCTCAAAGTAAAAAATAAAAGGGGCTTGGAATGTAGCTCAGTAGCAGAACACCCAAGGATTTGATTCTCAGTACCAAAAAACAGAAACGAAAAACACAGCAACAACAAAGACAGAAAGACATTTACCAGTTTACAAGTTAAGTTGGTGACAGCCTGCAGCAGTTGGGAAATCTCTTCCCTGGCTCCAAAACCTCTGCTGAGGGTATCAGTCTAACCCACCTGGCAATATGACACATGGATAAAAAGAAAGACAAAGAGAAAAGTTCTGTCACTGAAGTGCTCTGGGATGACTCAGGGTTCTCTCTGGAACAAAAGGCTTCACGTTTAAAAGCTCTTGGCTTTTATTGGTGTCAACAGGAAGGCGGGTGGGGGTGCAGGCAGAGTGCTAGGAAAAAGAAATTTTGTAACTGTACCAGGCACAGAGGCTTCGGGTTAGCAATACACAGATGCTTTGCACGTGGGCCTTGCTTCTCAGGAGAGAGCAGTGTGCTACTCTCTCACATCTAATTTTATTCATGTAACTGCAGCACTTGAAATAGCATGCAGGCTATGATGGCTATTATAGCAATAAACATAGTTCAGAAGTTTGTGGGAGGCCCTGTCCTGTCACCAGCATGACAGGGCCTCCTGCATGGATCTCTTTAATTGTCTCCATGTCATGAGTCTGGAAGCCTCTGTGGATCTTGGTACCTGTGGCATTGGCTTTTCTCTAGGCTCATCCTTGAGAATGCTGACACGGGAGAGCAGGACAAGGATAGACTATAGTACAGTGCTGGTATAGCCTCTCTGTATGGTCACAGGTGGTCATAATGGTATTTCATTGTCTGTTAACACACAAGCATAGCCTTGATCCAGATCTAGTGTTATTAACTGCACTCAGCCATGTTTTAAAAAGTTTTTTTAAAAGTATCAAGGAGAAAGGAGCAAAGATGGTGGATAGATAACAACTGGCTATAGAGGCTCCCTGAGATAGTCAACTTAGAATTCAACATAATAGATAGTGGGGAGCCCCAAACAGAGGGAGATGAATTTTCTTATCCTGAGAAGAAATTAAGGTGAGAAGAACCAACCAAACATACAGTCCCAGTGGTATTATTGGAACAGCTAAAGGTGCAGTATTCCCACTGCAGTGGGTGACTTGCCAACCATCCAAGGTCCCGCCACTTCGACTCACTGGAGGCACAGTTACATTGAGTTCGAGGGTCGGCGAGCCGAATGGAGAGTTGAGCTGGCGGGGAGCCTGCACTGACCTGCGGTGAGTGATGGGAGGGGAGCCATTCCACAGAAAGGGGGGCTCTGGCAATGACATTCTGGGACTAGGCAGGACTGGCAAGTACAAGGGGAAGCAGTGATTTCAGTCAGTTGTTTCCTTCTTGAATGGGATTGGTGGAGTAAGCTAGGGCTGGCTCATGTGACCTGGCTGAGACCCAATAGGTTATCTGAAATCAAGTCACTACAGCAGTGGCACATACTAACCACACTAACCCAGTGAAGTCTCGACCCGGAGGGAAGGTGGCACAAAATAATACAGTGCAGGCCACAGCAGCTTGACTGACCTGGAGGGGAGGGGCAAGCATATGCTCTCCCTGTCTGCAACTCACTAGCACACTGCAGTGGGAAGGGTCATCTAGCCTGCGCTCTGCAGAAGAATTGTAACCAACAAAGAAAGAAACTGAGGCCTCCAGGAAGAAGCAAAAAAGATGGCAAGAGGAAGCAAAAACAAAAAGTCCCCAGGTCCCAACCCTGAGAACCCTGACCCAGGACAGGTAAATACAAAGGAGAATGAGAACAGCAAACATGCAATATCAGACACAGCACCAGTGGACATAAAGAGATAACTTTGGGATCCCATAGATGAGTTCAAAGGTGAAATATTTAGCCAAGTAAAGCAAGATATAAGAAGATTAATAAAAGGGATACTAAGCACCCCTCAAGCAGATACAGATGGAAGAAGGGAGGAACTCAAACAAAAGAGAGAACCATTTGATGAAGAATATAAAAAAAATATAGACTACATGAAGCAGATTCAAAGAGATTACCAGGATATTAAAAACTCTATGGAAAGATGGCAAATCTGCTTGAAAGAATTATCCAAACTGGAGGACTATTTTGCAATGTGGGAATATGAAAGGGAAAACTTTTAAAAAATAACAAGGAAACAAACAGTAACAATACAAAGGCTAGAAGATGATGAGAGGATCTACAATTTGAGAATAAAGAATGTGAATGAAGAAGCAGGGGTACATACAAAGGAACTACAAAGGCTATTCACAGAAATAATTAAGGAAAACTTCCCAAACATAGGAAAAGGAAATGATATTCTGATATATGAGGCATACAGAACTCCAGCCACCTACAACCTAAACAGAGCTACACCCAGGCATATAACAATCAAGATCTCAGAAATCCAATATAAGAACAGAATATTAAAAGCTGTTAGAGACAAGAAACAGATAACCTATAAAGGAAGGCCCATCAGAATCA